TCTTTAGGATCTCTTTGGTATCAACTTCCAAGGCAGGGTTACCAAGTCAAACGGAGTGAACAGCTTTGGAACTCTTGTCACATGTGTTTTAGGTTATTCTCCGGGAAGACTGAACTTACAGTCACCCGGATCTTTTCACCATATTGCATGTGGGATTGTCCCTCCCTTTAGTTGGGGAACATTCAGGGAGGAGGGCCTTCTGAGTGGCAGCATTGGGGAGGAAGGTCATCATGGCCACTTAAGGCTGAAGAATGCATGTTTTCCCTGGTTGGCAGTCCCTGAGTGGAAGCTAGAGTTTGAAATGTCCTCAGAATGTCATCATATGCCCCTGAGACCCTCAAATGGGGTTTCGGCCTATGAGGAATCTAGTTTTTCACCTTCCTTAGCTGAGATATTTACAAGTAAAGCAGACCTGGGCAGGCTGAGGTTTTGTCTGTTTTTCTTGGTAAGGTCACAGATAATGAAGATGCTTTTAATAAGGAAAGACAAGTATATCAGACAAGTATAGGGTTTGCTGTCTGATCTTTTGGAACCTGACCATTAGTGGTCAAGCAAGTTCTGGCTACATCTCTGCACAGAGCTGACTCTGTTATCTTTCATCCTGGCCTCCTTTCAGCTTGGACAAACACTGCCTCTAGGAACTAGTCCCAATTAAGTACTTTTTGCCTCCTGCCCTAAACTGGTATGCAGCTCTGGGCCGAGCACCTATTTCACTCCACCTAAGAGGTGGCTGGACTTCTGTGGTAGGTGAGACATCATCTGGGCAGTTTCTCATCTGGAAAGGGCTATGAGGAGCTACAGTACAATAGGTGCTTGGTCCAGGAGAAGTCGTTACTTGAGTTCTTTCTCAGAGAGGTATAGGGGGAGAAAAATAGACCTTGGGGACAGGGGCTTGGGTTTTGAGTTATAGGTCTGTCAATTTGGAACCTTGGGCAAGTCATTCATCCTTCCTTGGTTTCTTCCTCTGTGAAATGGGTTGTCAAGAGACTCAAAAGGTAGAACGTGGAGTAAAAGGTTTACTAACTCCAAGGCACTGTGTAAATGTTCTGTGATAGTTTTCTGGTGGATGACACTCCTTCAGATAACTCTGATTCTTAATGTGATCCAACTTTTTTGATAAGATCCTAGCATTTATTCATAATGATAGTTATAATCATAACTGATATTTATCGAATGCCTACTCTATATACATTATCCTAGCTCTTTCACTTAATGTCTCTGAACTTCAGTTTCCTCATCTGCAAAATGGAAATAATATTAATATCTACCTTGTACCCAAATGGGGGTTAAATGAACCAATTTAGCGTAGTGCCTAACACATTTAGTAAGCAAGCACTCAATGTCAGAATCATAAACGTTATAGTATCTCATTTAGTTCAAGTGTCAGAATCATAAACATTATAGTATCTCATTTAATTCTCACTCTTCTATGGAATAAGTAGTATTGTTATCCCTATTTAATGGATGAACCATTTGGTACTCAGCGAAGTAAGTGACATGCCTTAGGTCACTCAGCTAGTTTGAAGAATCAGGATTCAATCAATTACTGAAGCCAGTAATCCTTCCACTGTGGACTTCTTAGTGAGACTGGCTATGTCATGTAGCCACACCAAAGGCATAAGTTAGTAATTTTGGTACCCAGAAAGGTTCAGTTCAAGTCAACAACCATTCAGTATTTGTTATTTATAAGGTGCTACCATAGCTGCTGTGAGTGAAGGCAAAGACACAAGTCACTGGAGTAGATCGCAGTGCTAATCCACATTAACCACTAGCCCTGCTCCTCCCTGGTACAACCTCCCTGGTCTTCCCCTTTGCCAACCCAGTTCTCAGGGACTAGGCGACTTCCTCCACCTCCACCCCAGCCGTCTCCTCCATTTGACCTCTACTTACTCTCCCTGGGTGTGGCCTTAGAGCTCGTCATCAGTCAGCTCTTCTGAGTCATGATTGCCCCAAGTCTTTGTGGGCCAATGCCACCTTGCTTCACCATCTGTCATGTCAGCAGCCACACGTGACACAGGTGCACATTACTCTACTGATTGAACTCATCACACATAAGTACTGGGCATGTTATTTGATTTCAGAACAGGGCCTGTTTCACCCTTATGCTGGAAGTCCCCTGAAGGCAGGGATCCGATTTTTCCTCTATTTATAATCCCTCCTCTCCCACTAGAGAAAACAATATCTACGCCAAGTGCTCTTCTAAAGAAGGAAGTAGGCCTCCTTAAGGTGCAGAAGATACCGATTAGGAGAGCAGGCGGGATTCCAAATGAGCAGATGAAGCCAGAGCCTCTTAAGAACACCAGAGGAAGGCTAAACATAGGGTCCATTTACATAACACCTTTTGCTTTTCAAATTAATCTTGTATTTTTTCATAAGCTTGACCCCTTACTAAGCTATCCCTGCTCTTGAGATCCATACAGATGGGGGCCTAACTTATCTTCGATAATAGTGGAACTTAACACAGAGATTGTGTAGCTATGAGAGGCCAGTGGGAACAGCATAATCAGACTTTATTCTCATTTGCCCTTTAGACCAAGCCAGTGGAGGAAGCATTGACTGGTCCTATGACTCTGGCATCAAATACTCATTTGCGTTTGAACTGAGAGACACTGGTCGATATGGCTTCCTCTTGCCTGCCGAGCAGATCTTACCCACGGCTGAAGAGACCTGGCTTGGCTTGAAGACAATCATGGATCATGTTCGAGATCACCCGTATTAGGGTTCTGGGGCAACAAACACCATTAAAAACTCTCTAGTTTGAAGCAAAATTGGGTGGCAAGTATTCCTTTTGCTAATCCCGATTTAGGAGGATTATTTCTTCCATTTTTGTTGCCTTAAAACACAGCAAGCCACTGAGCTGTACCCCTTCATCTTTTTTTTTTTAATCCATTGTTTAGTAAAATGCTCCCAACATCCTTCCAATATTTTAAACCAATTGTGGTAAAATATACACATTTACCATTTTAACCATTTTTAACTGTACAATTCAATGTGCGATTATCACCACCATTCATGTCCAGAACTATTTCATCATCTTGGATGGAAACTGTGTACCCCTTGAACAATAACTCCCCGTTCTCCCTCCCTCCAGTCCTGAGAATCTCTACTTTCTGTCTCTATGAATTTGTCCATTCTAGGTACCACACATAAATGGAATCGTAGTATTTGTCCTTTTGTGACTGGTTTATTTTACATAGCAAAACGTTTTTGAGGTTTGTCCACGTTGTGGCATGTGTCAGCTGCTTCATCTTAATAGAGTATCGTTTTAGTGTTAGAAAGGGATTTTTATGTTCGTTTACTCAATAAATACTAATTAAGCAACTACATAGTTCCAGGCATTATGTAGATGCAGTATCCTTTGGTTGCACTGTTCCCTTTGCTTTTCCGTTTCTGGTGTGCTGCGTTATAAAATCTGGTAGGGTCCCAAACCAATGGTACTCCTTCCTGGTTGCCTCATCAAGTCTCAGATTCCATATAATTTCTCTTTAGACATTCACTTCGATTAAGGGTTTAGATTTTCTTCATGTTGATGTTTTTTTTCTGGCAGAAAAGGGTGGGAGGTGAATTTCAGCCTGCCTAGAATTCTGGGTACTAGATTCTTTAGCTCGCATTTCTTGCAGGTTCAGGTCTCCTCTCCTCTTGTTACTAATTTCAAGGCTGAAATCTATTGTGGTGAAGGAGAGCTCAGCCTTTGTGATGGACCGGATCAGGCAGAACATAAGAGTTCAGTTTCAGTGTGGGAAGGACAAAAGGGTCCTGATAGAGACCCCAGGCCCACAGCTCTCGGCAAAGACTGTCCTTGACCAAATCTTAGACAGGCTTCTCTGAGTCTTTTTTACCACTGAACTTGCCCTGTCTAAGGCAGTCTTGGCAAAGAATCCTGCTAAGTAAGCACCCCCTAATCCTTGATATCTGATCAAGTTCTCATCCTCCACTTTTAATGTCCCAATCATTGGCAAGCAAGAATCTTGGTAGGCCAGGTAAACAAGAACCGCCCTCCACCCATGTCTCCTTTTAGCAATTTTCCATCCACTGACCCCTCACTCTGTTATCTTTACTGTGTTTGGAATTGAAAACAACTATACTCGCTTATTACATGCCCCCTATTGCAATAACCTTGAATAAAGTCTTCCTTACAGTTTTATCAAATGTCAGAATAATTTTTCTTTAACACTCCCAGTCGTGACCCTTGGTTGCATCTGCTCCCCTTGAGCAAGTGCAGAAAGAGTGCAGACTGTGGGGATAGTAGGATAGGGGAGGCTCATGAGATTTAGGGGTCCCGGACAGACTCAAAGGCCTCAGAGCCCATGAAGAACTCATGGAGAGCACGAGTGTCTTCCATTTATTCCGCCGTGATTTGGTGGACAAGAAACTAGACTCAGAGCCTAGAAAACATAAAGTCTTATTACTGATAATACTATTAAGCTTTACCTTTAGCTCAGACCCTAAGGAGAACTGATCATTTCTTCAGATTAACACATTTTTCATGTACCTTTTACCTCTTATATTTCTACTTTTTTACTGGAGTCATAAGAATTATGTGTCAGATTTATGACAGAGGCCACAAACTGTCATCATTTTGACCTGCTCTGGTGAATTCTCTGACAGGGTTTGTCAAGTGTGTGGTCTTGGAGCTGGCTTGGAGTTTCTCTGATAGTCTTCATTTTTTTTTCTTTGATTTTACTCTAGAGGTAATTCTATCTTAGGTTTACAATCTGGCCTCTCCTATTAGTATAATTTTATCCAGCACTGTGGGACTTTCCTATTTACTCAAAAAACATTATTTAAATACGGTGTTGAGCAATATGATACCTTTGGCACAGAGTTTTCCAGCCTGAGGAGCAAGTTCTTGATCTTATAATATGGGAGGCTTGGCCTTTATCACTCAAAAGGAATGGAAGAGGCATGGTCAGGGGCCCGCCTGTCTATCAACAGAGTTGCAAGGCTGCTTGGGAATTACACTAGCATTTTTGAGGACATGAGTCTGCCGCAGACTCCTTATAAATACAGCTTGACTCAGCGATTGTGTGACTGATACCCTTGGGACATGAAGTGGATACTGCTCTTTGGGGTCCTTATTGGGCCCAGCATCTGTGGCCGAGAAAAGTTTTTGGGGTAAGTTCCTTGTGGACTTATTATTACTTGTTTAGTTCAGTGATAATGAGAGTCAAATGAATTTGGAAATGAATGGCTGATTGTACTTCAAGCAGTATGGCACTGGGAAGGAAGGCCTGGGATCCTGTCCCAGCTCTGCCCCATGTCAGCCTGGACAAATTATTTCTCTCAGGCTTGATTTTACCTGTGAAATCAGGGGCAGGTGGTCTCCGCAGCCACTCCCCAGTTCCCTAATCTCCTGCCAATTCTTCTTCTTCCTAGTTCTTAACTTGTAAGGTCCGTTCCAGGTATCTCCTACTTTCTTCTGTATTTACAATGACCAAGAATTACCAGAAATTGTTTCAAATGTCTGTCGTGCTTACAGGAAAACCTGAGTCTTAGGCTTTTTGGTTTCACTTCTCCATTAACGTTGCAGGCTTAGTAGTGCTGGTGCTTTCTCATCAATGTCTGGGACATGGAGACTTGATAGGTCTTGCCTAGCCACAGCTATGAAAGTTGACACGCAAGGGGACACCTGTACACCTGTGTACACACATGCTCTGCGTGCTCCACACAGAACGCTCTGTGGGTTGATGAGGAGAGGACATTCGGGAGGTCGGCAAGATAAAAGACGCCATGGTACCCTGCCAGAAGATTGAACTCTAATAACTCATTACTGCATGATGCTTTGCTATTTGCAAAAAGCTTTTGTGCGCATTATCTTTTGGATCACACAACAATTCTGCCAGGCGGTCGTGTTATTTTCCTTAATTTAAACATGAAAAAACTAAGCCTTAGAAAGGTTAAGAAACCCATCCAGGGCCACTTAGCTGGTAAGCAGGGGAGCTAGAACTCTGAATGCAAAACCCATATGTTTTTGCTGTAGCACAAGGTAATCTCCAGATAGAATCCTACATCTCACTGATCTATCTGTATCCATCGGTTTATTCTCTATTATACTATCGGGTTAAGGGGACTTTGGGGTTGTTTATGGAGGTAATTATAGTGGTTCCCCCTTATCTGCAGGGGAACCACTGGAGAGGGGAACCAAGACCCCAGTGGAGCTCTATATATACTAGTTTTTTTTCCTTATGATAAAATTTAATTTATAAATCTGGCACAGGAAGCGATTAACTATAATAACTAATAATAAAATAGAATAGTTGTAACAGTATACTATAATTAAAGTTATGTGAATGTGGTCTCTCTCTCTCTCGCTAAATATCTTATTGTACTGGTCTCACCCTTCTTATGAGATGGTACAGTGCCTACGTGAGGCGATGAAATGAGGTACTCAGAATGGTGTGTAATTTAAAACTTAGGAATTGTTTATTTCTGAAAATTTTCATTTAATATTTTTCACCTCATTGACCTCAGGTTACTGAAACCACGGAAAGCAAAACCGCGGATAAGGGAGAACGACTGTGCTTACATGAGGCTGAGTAGTTTTCCTGGTGATGACGTCTGTTCACACCTGGTCTCGACTGCCAAATAGCTCAAAGGAGTTAGGCGTAGCAGGTGGCCAGGGAAGGCGATTTTTCCACAGGCAGCTCGGCAGTCGGTGTGTAATAACTGCGCTCGCTGCTGTGTGGGCTCACACATGCAGCTGTCAGGCTCCCACTGCAGCTATCCACATGGCTGGCAAATCTTTATTTCTCAGGATACAGACTTCTCTTATAATGCAGCAGGCATCTGGGTTGAGACAGCTTGCCTGAGCCCTGGAGCGCTCGCCACAGGAGTGTACACAGAAGGGCTGTGTGCCTGGGCTAATTACAGATGGTTTTAACCATTAGTGTCATCTTTACCCTTAAATCTGGTCTCATCCCATATCAGGGAACCCAGCAAAGGTGGTCGAATCCTTCCTGGGGTCTGTAGATGTGTCCCAGAAGGTAAAATTTTAGAGTGAGGGGAAGCTGGATTCTGGCATTTAAGAGGCTGGGGAGCCAAGACACAGGTCAGCTTGGAGGGGGTACAGTGCTGATGGAGATGAAGATGATGGTTTCCCCTCAAATTCCCCACTCCTGTCTCCATTGCTTCCATCTGACTCACCTACATCCCAGTCTCTCTCACTCTGCTAAGTGTCTTCTTCCCTGGTCTTCAGCCATCTTAAGGATGGGACAGTGGCCAAGATGCCTAGAGGTGTAGGGCAGGCAGAGAACAGGAAGTTGCAGAACTGGTTGTAGCACCAGCAGTAGCTGGCAGGCATTTAAGAGTTCTGTGAAATCATCTCTCAGTATTTGTGGTGGCTGCTAAGCCTGGCTGGGGATGCAGGGGAGAAGGGTGCAAAGACTAGGCCACTAGGCCTCCCACATGGTACAAGAGGGAGGGAACTCAGCGCCAAGATGACTATTGACTGTCCAGGACATGGGGCAAGTGTGAGAGAGTAAGGGGCATCACCAACTATTGCATAGGCAGCAGCTGGACAGCCCTGGGTATTGGAGAGGGCCAGAGTTAAGAGAGCTATACGAACACCTTTGTGGACTAGGAGCGGTGAGCATGGCAACCTGCGAATCCCATTGTATTTCCCCTCCCAGGCCAATCTTTCGTCAGAACAAGCTTAAGGTCTTTGCATGGATTTCCAGATGGTGAAGACAGGTTGTGTTCAGCCACCGACACTTTGCTTCCAGGTTTTGATGGACTTACGTTCATGAGAATAATGTTCGACAACTCCCCCTCCCCAATTTTAGCACTGCCTGAAGACTGTCCCTAATTTTGCCTCCTCTGGGTAGAGAAAACCTCGTGGGCGATGGGAGTTGTTCCTAAAGTCTGGGTGGGAGATTGCCAGGCAACTAAGGAAAAGGGATAGGTGTCCAGGCCGAGGGAACAGCATAAGCAAAGGCTTAGAAGGGCAAAGCACACGGTGAATTTGGGATTTCCTTGAGTCAAGAGGGTACAGGAGGGAGAGGTGGGGGAGAGACAGATGAGGAAGGACTCGACCCTACACCAACCCTTTGTGGATGTAAAAACGTCCAAACCGGTAGAGAGCAACTGTATTTATAAGAGTTTATTTGAGCCAAACAGACGACATGCTTCACAGAATGACATTTTGCAGTTTCTTTTGTACATTTGGAATTAAGGAGGGAAGGTAAAGAAGGTTACGTGAAGGTGGGGGTTACTGGATAGTTAAAAAGATCATGTCCTCCCCCCTTGAATCAGGGTCTGAAAAAGAGGCATTTCAAAGGTATGTTAACCTAGATGCACGAGAACAATGGAAGGGCTTTGCTTAAGGCAGAAGGTAAACCTTTTATAGGCCTGGGACCTGACGACCTACCATGTCCTGCTCAGTTAGGCATTTATGATCGGATCACCCTGAGAGGTGATTTTTGGCTGGATTTATTACAGAGCCCTTTTTTTGGTCCACATCTTCCACACTGCTTTTCTGAATGCTACAGCTGTCTATCTAACCTCTGTAGCTGGGCTGATTAGGGCATGATGAAGTGGGCTGTGAATTTAATTATCCTCACGGCCAGTGACATTCACCGTGTTCCACTGTCGTGGACTGTGCTCAGGAGTATGGAAGTTCTCTTGTGAGGTTACTACTTTGGGAAAAGTAAAATGAATGTGAATGTGCAACATGATTTTCATACTCCTGAGCTCTTTATTCTTATATTCCTCTTTTTTCTCTTCCTTTTTTTTTTCTCCTCCCCTGCTTCTTTGTGATTGCTCTTGTCAGTGCTGTATTTTACAAATGCCTAATTTGGCCAGTATCAGTGCATAGGCGCTTTCTAGAACACCACTTCTAAGACGTTTTTTTTTTTTCCTGGCGTGTTGGGGGCGGGTTGTGACAGAGCATGAATTTGGCAGATGCACCCTGGTGCTCAGCCAGGAGTAAGGATTTCCCTTCTGTTTTAAACCCTTCCCTTTTTGTGTGAGGCTGCCTGCCTGTGTTCGGGAAATGGCGGTTTGACTCCCCATCTTCCCGAGGCTGCGGTCCAACTCCTGGCAAGCCTGTTGAGTTCAGACTGGGGCCTGCCTGGCTAGTGCTTCTCCACTGCGGCCCCAGGGGCACCATGGATACAGTCAGCTGCCCACTTTCCACGACCCCGTGGAGACCAGACGAGCTGGGAGAAAGTGAACCTTTGGGACGGGCATTTCCTCCAGACCTGCCACCTGCGATGAGAGCAAGTCTTCAGTGGCTCGTGCCTCCTTGGGTCTGGACTAGATCCCTCAGAGATCCCCCCAAAACCTCTCGGAACAAAGTTACACCCTGAGAGTCCATCCGGATTGAGCTGGTTTTCTAATGAGGAGATGCTGATCTGCAACGTGAGGCTGCACGTTTAGTTCCCTGTGACAGAGCCATTTTCTCTGTCAACAGGTCCTTCAGCCCACAGCCCTCTCCAGCAGCTCTTCCTGCATTCATTCGTGTCAAAGGGATGACGCATGTGACAGCGTCGAGTGCGGATTCATTCGGGCTGTCACCTAGCAACGGCTTAATGGCTCCCCTGGCTACTTGAGCCGACTGAAAGCACAAAGGCAGCTTTTCAGGCTCGGCCTTCTCCCACCCACACACAGGACTTCGGGGGCCTCTACCCCTGCCGCTGCCGGGGATGCTAAATAGTGTATACGAAGCGAGTGCAGGACAAATAACAAAGGGGGGCTCGAGACTGGCCGGCTCCCTCTGGCCCTCTCTGGGACCCCTTGGGCGGACTGAATCCCAAATTTAGCCTCAGCACCTTGGCCCTTATCATAATTCAAATTTTTATAGGGTTCTGGAGCTGGATGAGATCAAAAGAGCACCCAGCCTCTCCCCTTTTGCTAAGAGGAAAATAGCTAAGCCTTCAGGGACGGAGAGTCTGTTCTCTTTTCCAGCTCTTTCCAGGATGGACCTTGGGCCAGAGTTTCAGTTCTAGCCCCTGACAGTGAAGAAGTACTTCTTTATGTCTTGAGTTAGCTTTGCGTGTAACTCAGGAACATTCCTTTCTGCGAAGTATATATGTTTTTCATTATAAAGTAATATGACCACATTACAGAAAACAGATACAAGGGAAAAAAAGTCAGTCATCCATAATCCCACGACCCGAACATAAGCACTGTCAGCATTTGCTGTATTTCCGTTGTCTGTTTTTCTTCCAGTGCATCTGCTTTTTCCATACTTGTGATCATGGCATACATACAATTTTGAGTCCTGCTCTTTCACTTAATATTTCCTTTAAAGTTATACCATAAGCACTTTTTCATATTTGCCACGTAGTCTTGTTTTTAATGGCTATACATTATAACCAAAGACTAGACCATTTCCTCTCATTCAGCCCAGTTATGTCTGGGATAGGAGGCTTGGGGTTTATTTGCCAGCCGAAAGCTCACCATTATCTTTTGCTTATTTTTTTTTTTTTTCCCTCCAGGGACCAAGTGTTTAGGATTAACGTCAGAAATGGAGACGAGATCAGCAAACTAAATCAGCTAGTGAATTCAGACAACTTTAAGGTACCTGGTTCTTTCCAGTCCCCCTGGGGATCTTCTAACTTTGGTGGGAAAAGACTTGCATACTGGCGTTATCGCTGAAGAGTTTTTGTGTGTAACCCTGTACTGGTCAACATGCCTTTCCCTTTTTTTTTTTCCTTTTTCGTTTTTTTTCAACATGCCTGTCCGTGGTTGAGAGGGTTGTTGGGGGAAAAGTGCTATAGATCATAGCAGTGCTGTTCTGGGAGACAGGCAGCCTCAGCAGTGAGCTCCATCTCTCTCTCTCTCTGCCGTTGACTTTTTATTTCTTGGGCATTGCTGGGTATTGCCTGCTGGGCAGGCCTGACCAGAAAAAATTATGAAATGGGCAAAGTTTGCCCTTGGGCAGAACCCAGATCCTCAGGGATCACCTTGGCTTTTGGCAGTTGTTCTAGAAAAATGAGCTCATTGTGCTTTTTACCTGAACTGTCCTTTAACCTGGTTTTATTTCTGTTCTCTTCAGCTCAATGTCTGGAAATCTTCCTCTACCTTCGGTCTTCCTGTGGATGTCCTGGTCCCATCTGTCAGTCTGCAACCAGTCAAATTCTTCCTGAAGTCCCAGGGCTTAGAGTACTCAGTGATAATTGAAGACCTACAGGTGGGTAGGCCAAGGCCCCTCACTGCTCTTGCACAGGGCAAAGCAACAGGTGTGGACCTGAGACATTTCTAAGTTCTGGTCTATCCTCCATTTTCCAGATGAAGACATTGAGGTATATGGAAGTAAAGTTCAATGATTTGTTAGAGCAGGTTGTAATAGAAAAGGCATACAGCGGGTAGGGACCAGATAGATCTGGATCCAAATCCTGATTTTGCTAACTACAAGCTATGTGACTTTGGACGAACTTTTAACCCCTTGAGCCTCTGTTTCTTCATGAGTAAAATGGTAATAGTGATATGTACTTCATATGATTTATTGAAAAGAGTAGGTGATTAAGTGTATGTAAAATGTCTTACAGTGCCTGGTGTGTCAGAGATGCCCACAAGTATTAAGTCGCTCTCCCTTTTCTTATTTGAAGAATAGAGGAGGGGTGGAGGTTGTAGACCGGTTATGAAAAGCATCCTTTGAGAAAGGGAGAATATCACCAACAGCCCCCAGCAGAGGGAACATCACCACCCAAGCCAGCCACCATCTCACGACCTGCATTTGAACAGCAGAACGGTGTCTGGCTCACGCTCTCTTTTTTACCGAGGTGGGTTATAGACTAATTGGTGATTTGGCCCGGGAGTTTCCTGATGGCGTGAGCAGCTGTGAGCTTATTAATCATCCTCACATGTCATAGACATCTGCCAGGAACCTTCAAAGTATGAGTGGTTATAAGAATTTCTTTGTTTCTGAATGGTTTCCCAAGCTGTGTATTTCAGAGGCACTGGATACCAGATGCAGGCTGATGTCTAGAGAATTCATAGTATAGAATAACCAAATAGCACATATGTTGCTTCCAGGGAGTAAGTGGGTTTTGAATGGGGTGATGTACGTTGGGCGCCAAGGAGTACGACTTTATAGATATGTGGAAGGAATCTGACCCTCATTTACACCTTGACATTTGTACTGTTTGATATGTGTGCCGAGGGTGCCGCCATCTTGGCTGGTTGATGTGCCTAGATATGGGGGAAGTAACATGAACCTCCACCTCCAACGGACCACTTCCCAATGTTGCCGTGTATGTTTTAGGCCCTTTTAGATAAAGAAGATGAAGACATGCAACACAATGAAGGGCAAGAACGGAGCAGTAATAACTTCAACTATGGGGCCTATCATTCCTTGGAAGCTGTAAGTGTTTCCGAACAGGTTAAGATCAAGATCATCGGCCTCCTGGATTTTGTAACCTCGTTCCTTACTTCCAGGGGGCATCAGTCCCTAGCGTAATATCCTTTCACTGAGGGGCTAAAATGTGTACACTCGGATTCCTTTCTAATTCTTGGATTGTTTAACTCCCACCACACCTAAGAGCATAGTGAAACACAGACTGGATATTTTCTCCCACATGTATGCTTTTCTCAAGCAACCCCTTAAAGGAAGCCATTAAATAAATGCAATCATTTCCAGTGCTTGTAATTCAGCCTTCTTACACCCAGGTTAAAATGTTACTTATTCCAGGCAAGTAGACAAGTGGTTATTTCAAGGTTAACTAAGTATTTCCACTCATTTATTATGACTACTTATAATGTATATTTGTGCCATAATGCATTTTGGTGCTGTGTTTAGTTAGAAACCGCTTTATACAGATGACTGACTTTCAAGGTAAGCCAATCCTTCAAATGAAAAACTTAGAGCAGAATAATTTAATGTGATATTGGAACTTGAGGAATCAAGAGAGAACTAATAGAACAGAATTGCATCACGTACAATACAGTTCTCTTCTGTCCCTCAATGTCTTTTTCGTTAGTCTGGAAACTGCTAGTTTAGGAATACGCCTCAAATCTTAATTGCTATTCTCCTTCCTATACTCAACACACATTGTTCTTTATGTCTAAAGATGGTGTTCCTGGCATGCTTTTCATGAGGCATACACTTGGAGTTGTTTTCCTTCTGGATGAGAGATTATTTCAAAGGCTAGTTCCACTTCTTTCCCATGGCTGTCAGTAGCTTTGTTTATTACGTGCACTTCCAACTGCACTGCCCCTTGATCTCCATTGTGGCCACTGACACACATCTGCAAAACAGCTGGGTAGAGTTAGTAGTTCAGACCAGGGCCATGGACAAAAGTGAAGCTCAGGGGGCCAAACAGGGGTCAAACCCATGACGTCAACTTCATTAACACCAGGCACTCCCCAGCTGAGCTAACCAGTTGCAAATGTCACCCAAGACCCCGGAAACCATCCCCTTACCTGCCTGCTGTGGGAACCTCACTCTCATATCCACCGGCTTTTGGCTTTCATGTTCTGGCTTTCGGTGCCATTGCCATCTGGTTTACAGCTATCTTTTGTTCCCTGTGAGGCCTTTTGCTGTGGATCTGTGTACCATCTCCCTCCTGGCTTGATCATATTCAGTTCTTTCTAAAAACAGCTTTTAAGAGCTCATATCCTACAACAGCTCAGGCTTCTTAGGTCTCTCGTGGGAATTTCACGTTGTCTTTGCCAGGCTTTCGAGGATCAGACCCTTTTTGTGTGTTGTTGTGGTCTCTGTTATTTTTGTTGGTTTCTCAGATGAGTTTTCCCCTGATGTTGGCAGTGTGATTTTGGACCCTCATCTGGACTCAGCTTTGTGTTTTAACATTTCCTGGGTGACTCTCTTTCCTCTCATGACTCAAGGCAGGCATCCGGCTTTTGCTCCACTTTCTAGGGTCAGTGGGTAGAGTTTCTGGGCCTTCCTCATGGCTCAATTGACAATTCCTAGCTCTCAGGTTCCAGCTTCTTGCCCCACTCTGAGTCCTGCACCCTCTACTCCTGCCCTTGGTTTGCTGTAAACCCTCAGCACCTAAGGCAGATATCTGGTCCTGGCTTCCATCTTCTGCCCTCTACTCTGCTAGCTAGTTCCCTCTTCACTTCTGGCATCTGCAGTATCCCCTTGTTTTGGATTTTAACTTGGCCGTGAATCATTTTGTCTGGCTTGCCTATATATTTGGAAGATGGTTTCTTGCTTCTGTCTGCCTTGTTGACTGCAACTCTGATAAACCCTTTAAGCTTGATTTTATTCTATATATTGATTGCCCATTTTTCTCTTCTGGAAAACTCCTTCCAGTTTGAAGGTCTAAATGTAAATTTGTTTATTTCCTTCTTTTGACCCTCAAAAGGTTTGAGCAAAAGATAGATGAACTCTATTTGAAATCAAACTTTCTTCTTTTAACTGAAAGCAAATGGAAGCATTCGTAGCCTTGATTCATGACAGCTCTTTACTTGTTCTCTTAAAGACTTTAGAGGAATTATCTCCAAAGTGGGCTACTGTATTGCAGGGTATAAGCAAGATGGTCGCCTGGGAAGGAGGAAGAGACTATTACAACTTCTATTTATGTTTCTATGTATATTTATATTTATTATTAAAGCAGCCATTGTATTTCTATTTTTTTGTTTTATAATGTACATAATATATTTGTGTGATGATATGTATATATACACACACACATACATAGTGCATGCTGATTTTTTTTTTAACTGATGGAGAAAGAGATCAAAAAAGTTTGGAGAGCACTGTTTCAAGAACCTTGGCTAAATGAGTCTGTTGCTAATTTTCCAGTCTAGTATGGTGCCGAGGGCCACACTTAGTGGACTATAATTATGTGGATAGATAAAATGTGTTATTCTCTAGAAAACTGTAGAAAAGGACCCTTTAGATAGCTCTTCAAGAATAAGCATTCCATGCTGATCATATTGTCAACCTCAAGGTTAGGGGGCTGGAAGAAATCATTAAACTCAGCAACATAAAGTTCACAGATACCTACCTAGAGCTGAACAGATTTTAAAAATGCCCCTGAGTTCACTTTTTCATGTTTCAGATTTACCGTGAGATGGACAGCATTGCCGGAGATTTTCCTGATTTGGTGAGCAGGGTGAAGATTGGACATTCGTTTGAAAACCGGTCCATGTATGTGCTGAAGGTAAGGCCCGTGCTCTTTGAAGGGCCTGACTGGACACGGGCTCCTGGTTCCTTGTGTCCAAGACCCGGCTATCAGAGTTCTGTTGGGGACAGCTTTTTAAGGCCTCCTTGACTTAAGGGAGGAGCTTGAGGTGGGGAGACATTTACCAGGGTTCGAATTTGGTCTGTCAGAAGGTCCCCTACTCACACATCCCGTTCCAAGTTTTGACCGAAAGGCAGGATTAAGGAAGTGCGTGCGGGGCGAGTGGGGGATGGTTAGCATTCCAGAAAGCTCTCAGATAGGCCATAGTCTTTTGCCTTTATGCCCACCTTCTGTAAATAGCAAGACAAATTGGAATAGTTCTACAAATTCTATCCTGCTTTTAGGGGTACTTATTAGAAAAGCAATCTAGGAAACTAATTTTGGAGCTGATGTAATTTTAAGCCCAGCCTATGGTCCTTGGCTGCACAAAGCTTAATTTCCAGATATTTTTAACAGATTCAGGTCTATATTGGCAAAGGAGGTAGAGAATTTATGGCAGTGACATAAATTACATAAATAATCCAGTCAAATGAATAAAGGGGCATTTGGAGATATGATCCGTAGTATAACTGATGATGCTACGTATTTGTCAAACGCTTATCTTCATATAAGCACTAAAGAACCCGGGCTCATGGCAGTGGTTAAATTACCAGTGGGAGGAGACCTGCTACTGAGCTGCTTGCTCTAAAATAATCTTCATAAATTTAGATTATTTGCCAATCTGATAGAGACCCTGGCTTCATTAGCACCAAGCTGTGACCGAGGCCCCTCCGCCAAACCTCCACTAAAAGTCAGGAGCCAGAATCCATTTAATGCCATTTACAAAGAGCTGTAGTGAACCCCCTCTTCCTTTTTTTAAAACTGAATTCGTTTATTGCATCAACTAGAACAGGCTGGTTCATGCACTCTGGTCTCTCTCTGTTGGGATACCATTTGAGGTTTTTCAAGAGACATAATATTATCTCTAATCACACTGGCATTATCATTCACAATAGCAATTGTTTCCCCTTCCCATTTGCTTCCAACCCTGGAACAGCTCAAGCTGCCCGGCAGCCAACCAATTAAGCTCCCTGGTCACGGATAAACCCGATAAATAGATGGCGCCCTCAGGAACATTTGGTTTCTGAATTGTCTTAAATGGATTAAATGAATGGGGGCGATCTGGGGAGAGGAAAAGTGAGCAGCACTGGGGGCAGCAGGGGCATTTTCTGGTCTCTTTTTCCTTCCACAGTTCAGCAGTGGAAAAGGCAGTCACCGGCCGGCCATTTGGCTGAATGCGGGAATCCATTCCCGGGAGTGGGTCTCACAGGCCACGGCGATCTGGACCGCGAGGAAGGTCATGTCGCCTGGTATTAGGCGAGAATTCTGGTGGGCCTGGGGTGCCCCTGCAGCCTCCCACGAGGCTGAGCCCAGGGAATGAAGTGGAAAGGTGCTCTGCACAGGCACAGTAGGCTGGGGGCCTTTCATTTCGGAGAAGCAAAAGGTCAGAGTCCCTTGGTCAAGCCACTGTGGCTAAATGATGAAGTGCATTTATGACCATGAGCCGTAGAGGTGGCCCTGAAACGCTGACGCATAGCCCAGCAGAAAGGGAGCAGAGCCTCGTCAGCATCAAAACTCAGATGAACTTTGCCTTCCATCCCTTATGAGCCCCCAGGCCCTTGGGGAACTCATGCCGTCTCCATATCCCTCTGGAAAGCCTGCTTTAAGCCAGTGCTGGGCGGGGGGGAAGGGGTGGTGAGTGTATTGGATTCCTCTTCCCTACCCCTGGCATGGGGGCTCAGATTCCTAATAACTGTTATGATGTGTGGCTCTCCCCTCCCCTGTTCCCACCCCCTGGAAGGAATGAACAAACCAGGCAGCTCAGGACTCATTACTGTTGATGTCATCATGCAGCCATGTTCCCTCAGGTTTTCAAGTGCTCCCAGGGCTTTGCAGAGAGCTGTGTCTCTGATGGTGGCAGGGAGGCTGCAGAGGGTGGATGCTGTTCCAGGACCTGGGCTTCTGGGGGAGGTACATGGGCTTAGACCTAACACTCCAGCCTGAAATGGCATAGCTGACAAACTCGTTGTCTCTGCTTAGATTGTATCTGATTACGGGAAGGATCCAGCCATCACCTCCATCTTGGAGAAAATGGATATTTTCTTGTTGCCTGTGGCCAATCCTGATGGATATGTATACACGCACACTCAAGTGAGTAATACCAAATGGGCTGTTTGGAGTTGAGACTTGTTTGTTGAATTCCTTCCTTTGCCACTAAATAGTTCTATGACCTTGGAGAAAACTTTTACAAATGTGCATGTTATGAGCTTCCTTGGGGTCTCATTTTCCAGTCATTCTCTGAGCTGAGAATCACCAGGGAATATTTTTTCTTAGAGAGAACAGTCTAATGAACTCCCTATCATGGTTCTTGAACAATTATTAACACTTTACCAATCTTCTTTTCATTTCTTTCCCTCCCACACATCTTTTTCTGACGTATTTTAAAGCAAATCCCAGACGTCAGGTTATTTCACCCAAAACTTCTTTAATATGTATCTCTAGCTGATGTAATTAAAACGAAGAAACAAACACCACACCACTATCGCCTTTAAAAAGTAGTGGAAGCTCTTTAAGCCAATTTGTTGAAATCAGGATCCAAAAAGATCTGTATCTTTATGTGATTGTTTATGGCTCTGCAGGCTTTTTTATTCTATAACAGTTACCCTCACACACATATTTTAAAAATGTCATTCATTTGTTGAAGACAAGTAAATTGTCCTGTAGAATGTCTCATATTCTGAATTTGGCTGATGGTTTCTTTGTTGTGCCATTTAATTTGTTCTCTTATCTGCATATTTCCTGTGCACTGGTGGTCAGATCTAGAGGCTTGTTTGGATTCAGGTTAATTTTTTAGGTAAGAATGTGATAGTCGTGCACTTCTTATCCCATCAGTGATCATTCAGGTGCATAATGTTCGTTTGTCCCACTTTTACCAAAGCCAAAACTTATTCACTGGGTTCTGGTGGTATTGGCCTGGTTCTTGGCATTATAAAGTTCTCATCAGGGCATTTTGAGAGAGTCTTTCTCTTAGAGCCAGAAGGGCTAAGCCTCCTCTCTCTGGGCTGAGAGGACGAGCACCCCAATGATCCTTCAGGCAGAACTGAGAGCAGCTCACCCCATCCATGGTATCCATCTCCATCACTGGCCTCCAAAGAAAACTTTCACCTCTCTTGTGCCCTGACCATCTCTGGATGTTTGTTCCTTCGTTGGTGGATTTTTTAGAACCGACTTTGGAGGAAGACACGGTCCCTAAATCCTGGAAGTTCCTGCATTGGTGTTGATCCAAATAGAAACTGGAATGCTGGTTTTTCAGGTAGGTTGTGGAGATGGTTTTCAAATCCTGCTACCTCTGGGTTGCCTGGCCCACAGGGATCAGGGCTGGTAGAGAGCCATTCCCAGGCTGGCTCCACTGCTGATGCACCAAGAGACTTGGGTGAATCCCTTACAACCTCCGTGTCTCGTTATTTAAATAATTTTTTTTTCTTTTCTAATTTTGAAAAGGAGTGACTCAGCAATTTCTGTCCTTCTTAGAGAACGCTAACATTTTAAAAGCCATCCTAGTCTTAGATACACAGATCCATGCCTCTTCCTTATACCCTGAGCACCCCAGCTTGTCCTGGACAAGTCACTGGGTGGGTGCAAGGGCTCCTGGTGGCAACTCAGAAGAGAGCAGTTAGCATCATTACTGTGACAGGCAAGATCTTGTCCTAAGAACTGAATGCCAGCAGGTTGCCCTTAGGTGTGTAAATACTCTCCGTGGCTCTTAGATGTCATGGAAGGAGAATGAGAACTACTGAGACCCGGGTTCTAAGTTCCCACTATTTAAAAATCATCCCCACAATAATGCCAACTGTATGTCAGGTGCTTTCCCATATATTATTTATTCTTCTGACCTAGAGAGTGAATTTTATTATCTGTAATGAGACGATCGAAGCTCAGAGACAATGGTTAAGAGTTAGGATCTAAACTTACCTTGCAATTCCAATCCAAATAATTCTCTTTCACTGTTCCACAGCTGTACTGATGTTTTGTTCTAAATGTACTTCTTTTACTTGCATAGAAATACCACATTAGCCGTTGGGGTGAAAATAATGTCACTGTGGGAAAGGAGCCGATACAAATGTGGGAACCGAGGACATCAAAGTTGGGTCAGATATTCCACAGCTGGGGTGGTTTCACATACACACCAGACACCTCAGGGAGCTATACTGTGAAGTAATATTGAAGACAATATTTCTAAACACCTGTCAAATAATCAAGAGATTTTAGCCGCAACAATAGATTATTTTTGGCAGTGCTTGGCCATTAAGATTCGAACCAAGAGAATGAGTTGACACCAGAATAGATGGAGTCATTTTCATTATTAATTGGTATTCATATGAATTATCTAGAGTACTTATTAATTACATCTCATTGTCAAGTATGATATTAATTATTTATGACAACTGTTAGTGATACAATACAAGGTCAACTCTACCCTTTTGAAGGAATCCTGCCAGTTTTCCTCTTCAGTTGTGGCAGATCCAACACCCCAACTTTCCACTTCTGCGCCCTCCCCTCAATACACACACCTGGACCAGGTTCTTAGGGGCATCTAGTAGTGGCATGCCCATTGCCTCTACCTTCTGCCCCGCTTCTGGGTTGAGGGTTCTTCATTTCTGTTTTCTTAGCCTATGGATTAATGTTTTCTGTTTGGGCCACCCACCACAGCAAAGGGAGCCAGTGACAACCCTTGCTCTGAAGTGTACCATGGACCACATGCCAATTCGGAAGTGGAGGTGAAATCGGTGGTAGATTTCATTCAAGAGCATGGGAATTTCAAATGCTTCATTGACCTGCATAGCTACTCACAGCTGCTGATGTATCCGTATGGGTACACGAACAAAAAGGCCTCGGATGCTGATGAACTGGTTAGTGACAGGCTGCCTCCCATCTGGCCCCAGGCCTGCTGCCAAGCTGGTTCTAAAGTTTTATAGGGAAAGTCCAGGAGCCTAGGGTTGTTTCATTAAGGGCCCAGTCTTCTCTCCCTGACCTTTGGGATGTGCTGTCCAGCCTGTTGGGAAAAGGAAGAAGACAGTGTCCTTATTTCTGTGTTTGCTGTGCATTCCAAGAATTACACCTGATCCCTGCCTTTCCTTCTCACTTATTTCTCTGACCAAGACGTGTGGCAGACCCACTGCTTGCCAAGAGCTGAGGGTGACATTGTGTTGGGCGACGGGGAGGTGTGCCTCACTCCAGTTAAAGTAGTGTTTAAGTAGGGTGTAGGCCACAGCTTAGGGGTGCTCTGTGTCACCTGTGAGCAGGCACTAAGAGTGGACTGACTGGAGCTAGGCTGGCATCTGTAGAGTGACAGCAAGCATCTCCCTATGTGCTGGTTGGCTTGACCGTGCCCCTCTTCCCAGGGCCACAGCTAGCCCATAAACCTCCTGAGAGATGCAGGGCTCATGGCTAGGTGTGGACGGGACTCTGGTCTCAGGTAGACACTCTGCATAGGACACCTCTGTATATGGTAGCCTCCACCTCCACTCTGGAAATGCCCAACTCTTAGAAGGTTTTCTCTTGAACACACATGGCCTTCCCTTGTGTTCACGAATGTGATGCCCCTTCCCTTGGCGCTGGTGAAGATGGTAGTACCTTTACCAGATTCCTAGCGGGCTGGTGAGCAGCGCTCCGGATCTTCGGAGAGCTTGGCTGCAGCTCCTCCGGTTTGAGTGTGTGACATGCATGCTTTCAGAGCACATATTCGTCATCTTCCACCGGTCTCTGGAAGTAAAAACTGGGCTGGGGTGTGGTGGGAGGAGGAGTTGGAGGAACCATGCCGTTCCCCTCAGTTTGTGGTCAGGCCTCGGCTTCAGTTGGATGGGAAAGAAGAAGAGGACAGAAGAGAAAATCGGGGTAGGGGCCGAGACTCTCTCAAACCATTGCAGTGCAGAATGGCTGAGGAATGTCAGCTGCAGGCCCCATTCTCACTCTGCCGATTCCCCCCCAGGACGAGGTGGCCAGACGTGCGGCCGAAGCTCTGGCTTCCCTGTCGGGCACTCAGTACCATGTGGGTTCTATCTTCACCACTGTCTGTAAGTACTCACTGTATTTATTCGTTATTTAGAAAAGGCTTTGAGAGGGAACTTGAAATGGAGCAGGAGAAGAGCTGCAAGTTACTACGCTTCAGTCTGATTGTTTTTGTTGTTAGTAACAGACCAAAGGTATGTCACACCTGTGCAGGAATAGCTGTTGCAGGCAGTCACCTTCATCAACATCACCACCATGGTCATGCTATTTATCATGTGCCCATGATGTATTAAGTCCTGTCAGTATCGGTTGAGTCTGCGTTCCTTATCTTCCATTAAAGATTCCGACATCGTGTGTTAAAAAGCTCATCATTCCACTTTTCAAAACCCACCTTTGGATTGGCAGACTGAGGTGGTGGTAGTGGGGTGGGCGAGACTCCCTCCCCTTGCTGTCCGAAATGAACACGTTAGAGCTGGGAGCTGGGTTAGGGGGCTGGCGGGGCAATGTTTGGCATCAAGCCAAAAAAAGAAAAAAAACAAAAACAAAACAATTCTACTAAGACCCCAAACCTGAAGATGGTCTTGAGCCTCATCATTCACAACTTCCACTTTATTTTGAGGAAATACCTTTGTTTTGGTCTCAGTGTGA